TCCTGCACAATTGAGATATGAACAGATGTCTAAAGGTTTGGCAGAGGTGGCAAACCTTGTAGCAGATGATGAAATGCATTCACGTGCGATCATGGAGTGGATAAAATTTTAATGTAAAGAGCTTGTGACCACAAAATCGAGTACATGAAGTAATCTCCTAACCTTAAATACTTCTTGGGTTGACACTCAATGCACTGATTTATCAAATACTGCGAGCGCCAATGTATTGGATCCGAAGTTCACTCGAAGAAAGGGAGTGCCAAGGAAATTTAGAAGAAAAAGCCCATTGCTACATTGAAGAAATCGAAGGTATGTCGGACAAAGTATTTTTGAATGTGTGAATGTTTCAATGTTACAAATTACAGTTGCCTTTTACGTACATGCAGCCCAGTTAGACATCCAGCACTCATGAAAGATCGACAACAAGCCAAAGTAATATGATTGATGGAGGAATCAATGTCCAACCACCTCTCCGGAAATAATATCCCAAGTTCACACCAATGCCACTCTCCATTTCATAGTTTTCCAGCCTCACACCAATGCCATTCTCTCTCACACAACGTGTGTCGCAAAATACAAATTTGATCCATCCGACATCGACGAACTTCATGTATACTTTGCAAGGTATAAAAGTTTCTCTTATATGTGATTTAAAACTTCATTTCATCATGATTGCATCATTAACCATTTACATTGTATGTTAATGTTGGTCACTATATGTTGATATACTATCCAAGCTTATTGGATGAAGATGGCCGAGGTTTGTAACTGGAATGCGATTCCATGAATTTATCGTAGTTGATGTCAGGTTGGAGTTAGTCATGTTTATGTATTAGTATTGCCCATTAACTTAGTGTATTTTGATTTGAGTTTGGAGGAGTTTGTCATGTTTATTTTGATGTACTAGGATTATCTATTAGCATACTGTATTTTTTTGGCTTTTACTATACACATGAAATTTGATTTGATTTTATCCTTAATTGTTGCTTTTACTACCATATATATAGATCTATTAAATGCCAGATCCGTGTATTTGAACATTGGCTACAGTGGTGGTCTGAAGATCATTTTGGAAGGCAGTAGTGATGGTAGGTTAATATTTAATTTTAGAAGTTGGGTTTCAATGCAATTAATTTTGGACTTGTTCAAGTCGGAACAAAAACCAAATTGTTTATTTGGTTTAAATAGGAAAGACGAAAATAGCTATGAGTCTTGCTTGGCTGGATTTGTTATCCAGTAAACAAATGTTATCCCATGGAGTAATTTTTGCCTTATGGCATCTGGCTCATTTATCTGATTTGCAGAACTTTTTTTTAATAGATACGGTGCCATATTCAACTTTCTTGGAATCCTTGTAATAGTCATTTTTAAAGGTTGAATCGGCTCTCCCAGGCTTAGCTTCTGTTAATACAATGAGCAGTTTGATTCTAGTATAATTCATGTTTACAAGATTTATTTCTATTTTATTGCCATCCGAAGAATCTTGAATTGCAGGTAAGTACTTTCCGCACTGATTAAACTAATGATTTACGAAATTTTCATTATAAAAATGTTTCNTGAAGCGTAAAAGAGTTGAAGTCGTCAAGCCAAAGGTTAAGTGTTGTGTTGGGAGTGACGTCCAAAACATTTGGCATCAACCTATTGAAGACAACTGAAGAATGAAGCAAGCTGGACAAAAAACTCATGTTCAAGTTATGAAATTAATAGGGGTTGAAAACATCAAGAATTCAAAGCTGTTGAGGGGAGACAAAACATGTTGGACCGGTGTGTCAACCAATGGAAGTGCAACAGAAGCTGAAAACTGGAGCTGGAGTGAACAAAAAATTCGGCGCTGAATTTTTATTATTTTCGCGAGTTTCCTTTTCTATTTAGAACTCTAATCTTTTAATATTTCTACCTTATTTTTGCACGAATTTTCCTTTTTAAAATTAGGCTTTAGAGTTTCATATAAATAGGATGCTATTGCCATTATTTGGAACAAAACTTTTATCATGAATTGAATGGAGATTTTCCTCTCGAAGCTTTTACTTCAAAATATCGAACTTATCAAGATTTAATATCTTGTGGCGTTCAAACAAATCGTCGGGTTAGATTCTTTGGGTTGTGTAATCAAAAGGTCCTTCGCATCGTCATTATCATTAGGTTGTTTGTATCATTAATTCTTTGGGTCAAATCCACAAATCCGGAGGAGATTTCAAGGTTCTGTGATTAAGAGGCCGTTTGTTTCATATACGTTCGGTTGCTTAGTTCACTTTTGCGAGTCAATTCCTAAATCTTGATCATTATTTGGGCCTTTTTAGGATCCATTGTCAATTCTTGTGGGTTCGATAGCAATCTTGCTAATCAGGTTCGCATCGTTTGGTATCAGAGCTAAGGCATTAAGATTGAGGTTATATCTTTTTTTTTTTTTTATTGAGTCTTTGTTTTCTTATTTTTAAGTTCTTCAAGTTTCTGTAAATTTTTTTCAGTTTGTTGAGTCTTAGACTCAAAATCTTTAGTAATTGAGTTGTCTTTGTGTTTTGAAAAAAAAAATAATGTTCATCTGTATGATACCAAAAAAAAAATTGAGTAAAAAGAAAAGATTTTAAAAAAAAGTAGTAAAAAAAATGTCAAATTCACGTCAAAGTCAATTCCAAATGTCAGAAAGGATGATACAGAGGTTTGAGATGATGGTTGAAAATATGGAAAATAAATTGGATATATTGGATGTGAAATTGAAAAGTATTCATAGGGATCAATGTGATGAGAGGTTCAATGTGAGGAGACGAGAACCTAGAATGAGAAATTGTGGTGCATATGGATATGGTTGTGGTGATGATGAAGATGCATTGGTTGATATTGAATTACATGGAATGAGGAGTAGATGCGATAGGTATTATAGGAGCGATTGGCAAGAAGTGGAATTTAGAAAGAAGCCTTGTAGATATTACGGGGATGAGTATTCGATGGAAAAGAAGACATCTTTTGGGGGGTGTGCGGGTAGTACCTCAAGCAAGCGTGTTGGGTTAGATTATAAACGGGATTTGGCGGAGATTCGTGAAATGATTAATTCTCAAATTGATCATCCAAAGGGGCAAGAGGGTAAGGGTGAAAACAGTGGGATGGTTAAATGTGAGAAAAAAGAAGAGAAGTCACAAAAGAGTGAAAAGGAAGTTGAGAGTGAAATTCAGAAAGAGGGAAATAAAGAAGAGCCGTCGGATATAAAGGAGAGGTTGGAAGTGAGCTTAAATGAAAATGAGTGTGAAGTTGAAGGGGCTTTAGTGATAACTAACAACTCCCACCCCCATTTTGCTATATCTGTTTTACGGGCTTTTGAAAACTTAGTCCATGATGACAAGCCAATTGGAATTCCTTACAACCTGGGCATTGATAATCAATTGGTGGATAACACTCAACAGCAACATCTTGGTTTGGATTTCTCTTATTTACCGTTGCTTGAATTTGTAATTCCCAAGGAGACAAAAAAGTATCAATGGCGTTGGAATGAATTCATATGCATTGGATTGAATGGCAAGGGTGATATGCCGGGAAAAATGCATCCATTCGACGTGTCATTTCTAAAGTTGCCTAGGCAAATATGGTCAAGGAAAATGCAGGGTGGATCATCAAAGGACATTATCCTTGGAGCACCTTATACTTGCGAGAGGAAGCAGTCAAAATATACACATTTTAATCCATGTAAAAGTGATTGGGTTTATTTATGCAAGAGGCGGATAAGGATTCAAAAGCGGTCCAAGTTTCATCCTAGAGGCAGTGGACCATTTCATGTGCTTGCACTAATTGGAAACAAGGGCTACAATTTAGACCATCAATGTTTGGATTCAAGGTCGAATCCTTTCGAAGGGAGAGGGGATGATGTAAACCAAGTTGCGCTACAAATTACTAAATATTTGACGGTTGTTGGTGAGAAGTTAAGACCGAAATTTGAGCTAAGTTGGACGCCAAAAGGAGTTAATAAAGCCAACCAATTGCTTGTTCGAGCCATGAAGCGTAAAAGAGTTGAAGTCGGCAAGCCAAAGGTTAAGTGTTGTGTTGAGAGTGACGTCCAAAACATTTGGCATCAACCTGTTGAAGACAACTAAAGAATGAAGCAACCTAAACAAAAAACTCATGTTCAAGTTATGGAATCAATAGGGGTTGAAAACATCAAGAATTCAAAGCTGTTGAGGGGAGACAAAACATGTTGGACCGGTGTGTCAACCAATGGCAGTGAAACAGAAGTTGAAAACTTGAGCTAGAGTGAACAAAAAATTCAGCGCCGAATTTTTATTATTTTTACGAGTTTCATTTTCTATTTAGAACTCTAATCTTTTAATATTTCTACCTTATTTTTGCACGAATTTTCCTTTTTAAAATTAGGCTTTAGAGTTTCATATAAATAGGATGCTATTGTCATTATTTGGAACAAAACTTTTATCATGAATTGAATGGAGATTTTCCTTTCGAAGCTTTTGCTTCAAAATACCGAACTTATCAAGATTTATTATTTTGTGGCATTCAAACAAATCATCAGGTTAGATTCTTTGGATTGTGTAATCAAAAGGTCATTCGCATCGTCGTTATCGTTGAGTTGTTTGATTCATTAATTATTTGGGTCAAATTCACAAATTCGGAGGAGATTTCAAAATTGTGTGATTAAGAGATTGTTTGTTTCATATACGTTTGGTTGCTTAGTTCATTTTTGTGGGTCAATTCCTAAACATTGATCATTATTTGTGTGTTCTTAGGATCTATTGTCAATTCTTGTGGGTTCGATAGCAATCTTGCTAACCGGATTCACATCAAATAGAGTCCATGATATATCTTATTACCAATGTATTTTTATATTAAAATTATGTATGACTCAGTGCAATTTATGATTGGTTTGATTTAAGGTGAAATACATCTTCCAACTAATTTTCATTTTAAATGTAGTTTCATCTGGGTTGCGAATGCCAAAAAATTTCAATGTTGAAATCGGTTTGTGTTAATTGTTGAAAACCTATAGAAGCAGTGTGATAAATAAACAAATGCAGTTGTAAGATTTCATACATAACTTAATATTAGAAGAGTTCGTACATAACTTAATATTAGAAGAGTTGATACATAACTTAGTCATATACATCCAACAGTTTATGGAAAAACCTATTTGATCATTATCTACTAATCAAGCAGGCTGCTTTCCTTTCGCATTCCCTTGCGCGTTAACTTCTTTCGTCTGGATAATCACATTCACATTCAATGAAATCTAGAGCTCTTTATCGTCACTTATTCGAACTCGAGATTGGATTGAATGGGACATTTCTTCAAGTGTTTCATTCTTCACAGCGTTCATCGACGGGCCACTTGATGTTTCATTTACAATCCACTCCCAAAATTCACAATTGTTACTGCAGCAAAGGAATAATTGTCCTTTTTTGTTAGTCTCCTTTTCCACAACAAAATATTTCTCGAAATCCAAGCTTTCATGGTGTGCAAGGGCATTTCTTTTTGCACTCGGCAAAGAAGTAATCTTTAGCTCTACTACCATGACAAATTTCGGAGTTCCTCCCGGGCATTCTAAGATGGAATCCACCACCACCAACAAAGGTAGAGTCAGTCATCTAACATTTCAATATTATATAGTTTTAAAATTGAGAACAACTGCACATACCCAAATATAGTTTTACTTCACTAGTACATTTTGAGTATGAAGGATACATCTAATCACATCTGATTAAACACAATAAAACCCCCACTTAAATCTATCAAACAACCCATCTCAACTGCCAACAACAAAAGTAAAGTCACCAGTCCACCAATTCAATATAGTTCTAAAATAAATGCATTAATACAAATACCCAACAAATATAGTTTAAACACAATTCAATATAATCAATAATCCACCAACTCAATATAGTTCCAAAATTTACCACTATTGCAAATACCCAACAAATATAGTTTACACACAATTCAATATAGTCACCAGTCCACCAATTCAATATAGTTCCAAAATTTACCACTATTGCAAATACATGACTTGGGGCTCTGAATTGTGAGACAGAGATTGAAATCTAAAACGAAAACATTATAGAGAATACAAAAACATGACTTGAGCCTCTGATTCAGAAATACATACACCGTTACAGATAAAAATCCCAAAATATAACATACTTGTAGCAGGGAGATAGTTTCATATATAGAGAGACACACAACGACCTCTCACAGCTGCACTACAGTAGTAGTAACATTTGCTAATTAATATAGTTGGACAGGCATAAATACCCAACAAATACATTTTAAACACAATTCAATAAAGTAAAAAATATACGAATTCAATAAAGTTTCGAAATCGAAGAACACAATGAATACCACTGCTTGATGAAATAAACACCATACTACCTGGGCAAAACTGAAAAAAAAGTTTACTTTTTTCGTTGGGCGCCTGTACAGGGAGCACTCCGATGGTTGAGGCGATGGCAGTAATTGCTTAACAACAGGTTGCAAGGTCTATTGGTTTGATGATACCAGCGATCAGAGATGGTCAGGGCTTCGACGATGATCGAATATGGTAGGTTGATCGACAACGAAACCTTTGACTTCAGTAAGGGCTGGAAGTGGGGCCGGAGATGGGGACTTATGCTTAGGGTTTGGAATTTGGGGCTCCGATTTTGGTTTGTGAGGAGAGAGAAAAAGAGCGTAATGTTGCTTTCTTCTTTTTTTTTTTTTCAGTGTCCAGCAATTTTGCCTTTTATATAACCAAAGTCCACGTCAACTTGCTTTCCAATCTGTTTTTGGGCCGGAACGAGTGGCGTGGTTGAAGAAGGCCCTCATCCTCAATACTAGTAGTTACAGATGGAGGATGAGTAAATCGTATAGATTTCTATGAAAAAAGTTCTAAAACTCCCTTTCCATCAAACCCTTTTCCAACCTTTTTCTTTTCAATCCTGACTGCATTGCTTTACTTTTACCTTTTCTCACTAGATTATTGCATAGAAGTCAAGGCTATCACAAAAAGATAGCATCGCAATGGAGTCTTTAGCCTCATTTGGCCTCAATTAAATTACATTACATTACATTTTATTTTTCTCTCTCATATTTTTAACCCCACAATCTTCTATAAAATAATATTACGCATAAATCGAAAAATTTTCCTTCTTTTTAAACACTCATTTTTCAAAAAAACACTATTCCACCCATGTTCATTACAAAAAATGGGGGTCAAACGAGGGCTTAGTGCTAGAGAACTACAATGAGAAATCTGATATCCAAGAGAATGAAAACGTGAGAAGACAGTCGAAAGTTTGTAGCACAGGCCGTTGGAGACCTTCGGAAGACAAAAAACTTAAACAACTTGTTACTCAATATAGCCCACAGAACTAGAACACCATAGCTGCGAAGCTTGAAGAAAGAACGGGTAGTTTTTTTTGTTTTTTCTATTGAGTTCGTATATTAATCATTAGGGTCTGATGCCTTTTTCTGGGATTTGAAGACTAGAGTTGTAGATTGAGATGGTACAACCAGTTGGACCCGATGATCAATAAATGAGCTTTCAATAAAGAAGAAGAGGAAAGGTTGTTGGCAGTCCATAGGGTTATTGGGAACAAATGGGCTATGATTGCTAAGTATTTCTTGTAACTGTTCGTCCATTCCTGTTTCTTCAACTGGCAATAGATGGGACAATCGATGATCCACGTTCATGATTTCAATTTTCAACATTTACAAATAACATTCATGGTGTTCATTTCTTTAATGATTGAAAGGTAACATTAGCCATAATTTGAAGGAAATTTGGCTATATATAGATAGGTTTTGGTCCCCAAACTCAACCGCCCGAAAATACAAATACACCCGAGGGGGGAGCTAGTGATTTTGTTCAGTATAGGCACAATTTTAGGCATCAGCTACAGTGATTTTTTAGGTCAAATTAGTTTATGAACAAAAAGAGCTAAGGCAGTCATTGACCGTTGATGTCCACAATAGTAAGATCATTTATTAACATTCTGACATTTACCGACATGTGGAGTTATAATCTTACCACTTGAAAAGCACCATTAAAAAGGTATATTGAACAAATCAACAGTCAATTGAGAGGGAATAAAAATAAAATTCAAACATATAGAAAATTTAGCTTCACTTATCTCTTTTTTAACTGTAACAAAATGGGGAAAAAGCTTGCATAAAACTAATGAAAAACAAGCTAAAACAGTATCAAACTATTAAACCCTACATATGTTAGAACCTTTGTATCGGTTGAAAAAATCATTCCATATGTATGAAAATTAAACGTAAATCGCATATTAAACTATCATCAAATTTCAATTTTCAACATAAATTTATTATTTATCACAGATCATAGTCTACAACCACATATTCCCAAATTCACAAAATTCCTAATTTTCATAAGTCATAAATGTTAACAATCACAATCATTACCCATAAACGATAAATCGATGAGCTAGAGTCTAAAATAACAAAAATCAAAAGAAGAAGAAGAAAAGACTAGGATTGGACTCACTGGAGGCTCACGAGACACGAAGAAGCGACATGGCGATCCTAGAGGAGACTTGTAAACAGCCGGCACGACAGCAAGTAAGAGAGTCTGCACAGTGGAAGGAGTTTGTCAGCTTCTTCCTTGCTTTGTTATTTGAAATGCAATTCAATTGTAAAAGCATACAATTATATAAACCATTAAACCAGGATCCAGTAAAATAGGCCAATTAATTTTTTTTAAAAGAAGAGGCCCAAAAGAAAAAGACTCACAGTTAAGAAAATGTCCAATCCACTCTCCTTCACCTTTCTAACTCAGAAATTCAACTGGCACTTCAAGTTTCATCAATGGCTACTTCCAACCTGTAAATTCTTCTCTTATTCTTCTTCTTCTTCTCTTGGTCTAGTGCAAGCACACATGAGTTTTCTGTCTTGCACTGGACTCTAAATAGCTTCGTCCCTGGATACACCATCAAATTAGAGTGTTGGTGCCAATACCTAAAACAATGAGAGCTTTTGGAATAACATCAGTGGTTGAAGATATGAATTCAATTCGTGGAATTTTCATTTTTTTATCCAATTTGTTTTCGCTTAATTGTTTTGGATCGATTTTCAATCTTGCACTTGGTATCAAAGCGAGAATACCCTCTGCCTTGGTGTTTTACAAGAAATCTAAAGATCTTGATTTCTATGTCAGAAATTTTTTTGGAAATCAAATTAGAGATTTCTCAAGAAAATCGGTTCTATAACTTCTGTAAACTTGAGATATTCATTTGGAGGAATGAATTTGAAATGGGTAGAAATGGTCCAAACATACAGTTGGAGGTTGATGGAGAAGATTACTATTCACGTTATTTTTTCCTTTACCCATCAGTTGCAGGCATTTTATTGGGCATGCTTCATTTCCTTATATAATTGGGATTTATGATGAGTTTATTTATTGGCCCATTTGTTTATCATAACCAATTGCTTATTGGTCCGTATTTGTAAGGCCATGTGAAAATGTTTAAGGGCCATTTTTGAATTGGTCAGTTGTTGGGCCTTTTGGAATTTTCAGTTAATTGTTTTTGGACCATTTGATTATCATGAGGAAAAAGTTCACAAATCAAGTTTTAACTATGCCTAATTCAAAATTCAGGTTACAAGTTTCATTAAAACAAAAATTAGATTTTAACTAATAAATTAAAAATATTTATTAAATTGTAATGTATTAATTAAAAAAAAAGTCAAGTCAAAGATGCTAAGCTTAAAAAAAAAAAAAAAATTCCAAAACAGTGAGGCGGTGAATTGGATTATATATCAATTCAATTCATATTTAAACAAATCGAAACCCATTTTAAATTCAGAGAAACAAGAACAGTGAGAAAGAAAGAGAAAAAGAGAAAGAGAAAAGAGAAAGGGAAAAAAAAAAGGGAAGAAGAAGAAAAAAAAAATTTGCCAACGTGTTAAAAATTAAGTGGTCTACATTATTAGGCTTTAATTCTTCAATTTTGAAAGGTAAGTAAAAAGTTACTTATTGTCAAGTTATGTTTGATTTTATAGTTGTTAGATTAAATTCAATTTTATTGAACATGTTATGTATAATAAACTATGAAATTGAGTAAGATGAAAGAAAAACTAGTTTTAATGATTAAAGAGACTTTAGAAATCGCTTAAACGTAAAATGATTAAGTATGGGTATCGCCTATTTAATTATTGAAATTACTTAAAATAATTAATTGTTTAATTAAAAATTATATTGTATTTCAGACGACGATACTGACATCAGAACAGCTTACCAACCAGGTTGATTTTGCAAACATAGTAATGTGAATGGAAAAATATAAATATTTTTAAGTATTTATAAATTAAGTATATTATCAAAATATGTGCAATTATGTGTTCGAATTACATGATTATCATGAAAATCTCTTTTATTATGATATATGTGAAATTTCAAGGATTATTTATTGTACATTTGTGACTTGGTATGTGAGACGTGATATTAAGATCAACCAAAAAAGTACCCGTGATTATGTATTTCTTCTAGTTCACCGAGGGGCCTTGGTCGTGTTCTATACTACACTGAGGGGTCTTAGACTGGGGACGAAGGGGTCTCGACTGCGTACATATAGTTCACTGAGGGGCTTCGACTGTATTCTAGAATTGATTATCAGAGGCCTTTGAGATCGACTTTCATTCACGGAGGGGCCAAAGGCCGATAGCAAAAGTTCTTAGCCCGAGGGGCGGATTATAGATTTTTATCAAAGGGTACATTTTTTGGTGGATTTTGTAGTACATTTGATGTGATGAGATTATAGCATGATTACCAGCTTATGTTTATATCATGACTTGAGATGATATTTTACCACATTATGTGAAAGTCTCACGTTTTAGCTATAATTATATGATGTTATCTTGCAAGTTATCAATGATATGAACTCGATTTTCAATAAAAATGTAAAAATGAAAAAGTATAATTATTTTCGAACTTTTCCACTCACTGAGTTATGAACTCATATATTTTTTTGTAACCACAGGTGAAAATTGATTCTTTTTAGCTGAAAGAGCCTAATGATTTTGAAATGAGAGTCACACGACATGTTGAGTGTTATAACTCATTTTGATGAAGCACAAGGTAAATAATTTGGGCTCATTGCATTATATTTTACATAAGCATTTAATTTTGTTGCATTTTTTAAAATAACTCATAGTCAGCCTTGGTAATAGATTTGACATCTAGTCAACATCTATCATCGGCACACGTCACGTTTCGGGTCCACTAGGGTGATTTGGGACGGATTGTGTCATAAATAAAGATAATAAAGTCACAGTTATTCGATTAATGATCATAGATTCATAATTATATGTTACAGATTTATTTAGAGGTCACGTATCATCAACTTAATTGGTCACAAATTGTTTCGAGGTCACAAATAAAAAATTTTGTAGATCACAGATTATTTCGAAGTCATAGATTACATTTTATTTACAAGTCACATAGGTCATAGTTTGTTGGTTACAAATTATTTTTTAGTCACATATAACCAAATTGTTGGTCTTATGCACTAAACACCCAACCCTAATACTGATCGACTACTAATTTTTGGTTACATACGCCTAAATAGTTGGTCGTAGATGTCTAATTATTGGTCACAGACCCCCACCCATCACTGCCACCACAACCACAACCACCACCACCATCATTATCATCAACAGCAACACGACAACAGTTGGGCACCTCCGCCTCCAGAACCACCATCATCTCACCAACATGAGCACCACCGTCTCCTGCAACCACCATCATTAGCATCACCGTACCCGTAACACCACCACACTACCACGTCCACAACACACCAGCGCCACATACCACACCACCATCTCCTTTATCTCCATTTACACCACACCCAGCCACCACCCTCACCAAGAATCCACAAACCCCCTGTCGCCACCACTACTACAGCAC